TAACCTTAAAAATGATGAAATACCTATAAAAAATAATGTACCTAATCAATCGGTTGTAGGCAACAAAAAGCCAAGAACACAACCTTCATGGATGGATGATTACTATTTATATTCATGTGAGTCATCCTGTTTTTCGGTAGGTACAAATATAGAAGAATAAGATCCCTTAACCTTTTCTGATACGATGAAATCACATGAATCAGTTTTATGGCTAGAATATATGAGAGAAGAACTTGATTCCAAAGAAAAGAATAAGGTATGGGAGTTATGTGATCTACCAGAAAATAAAAAAGTCATAGGATGCAAATGGGTGCTCAAAAAGAAATATCGTGTTGATTGATCTATTGATAAATTCAAAGCACGGTTAGTTGCCAAGGGTTATAACCAGAAGGCAGGAATAGATTTTCAGGAGACGTATTCTCCTGTAGCTAAATTTGCATCCATTAGAATTATTTTGGTTATTGTTGCATATCTTGATTTGGAATTATTCCAAATGGATGTTAAAACTGTATTCCTTAACCGAGAGTTGAAGGAAATAATATATATGCAGCAACCTAAAGGTTTTCAGGTGAAAGAACAGGAACATACAGTTTACAAATTAATGAAATCTCTATATGATTTAAAACAGTCTTCTAGACAATGGTATCTCAAATTTCATGTAGTTACTAAACTTGGTTTTATTCAAAATAAATTAGATAATTGTGTATATGTCTTGAAAAGTGGGAGAAAGTTTACTCTATTATCCTTATATGTGGATGATATACTGCTCGCTGAAAATTACATAGGAATGTTGAATAAAACCAAGACAGATCTCAGCAAAAAGTTTGAGATGAAAGACATGGGAGATGCATCATATATTCTTGGAATTCAAATAATTCGAAATAGAAAGTCTAGAATGCTAAGTTTAAAACAAGAAAAATATTTAAGATTAGTTCTTAAAAGGTTTGGAATGGAGAATTCCAATCCGGCACCAACTCCGTTGGTTATGGGAAAGAGATTATGTAAAGAGCAAAACTGCTGAAAAGGGGCAGAAGTAGGGGTGTTAACGGAGCGGATACGGCTCGGATATGGCACTTACCATATCCATATCCGCTTACCCATCTCGGAGACGGATACGGATATACGTCGGTAAGAAAAATTCATATTCATATCCGCCAAAATCGGATACGGTTACAGATATATATGCGGATATATAAACGGATATGCATGCGGATACAAAAAGGATATGAGAAAACTAGATAGTATTCAGAAAAATATAGTCATGTGATACAAAAAGAGTTCGTTAATATGTTCATTATGATTGAAAAGCTTAGATTAGACATATTGATCATCAAAATTAACCACAAATCTATAATCTAATAATCGAAACTATCGTAAGAGTATTACCAATATGTATTCGGATTTTTTCGGATAGGGATACGGATATTTCACTACAAAACCATATCCGTAACCATATCCTATCGGTAATAGATTTGAGTAACCATATTCGTATCCTAACGGATATGGTTACGGATATTTCCTCGGATACGGATACGGTTTGGCACCCCTAGGCAGAAGCTATTAGATGTTCCTTATGCTCAAACAATTGAAAGCTTGATGTATACAATATTGTACACCAGACCTGATATAGCTTATGTTGTGAGTCTAGTCAGTCGATATCAAAGTAATCCAGGACCAGCACATTGAGAAGCTGTTAAAAGGATTATGAAGTATATCAGAGGTATATTGACTCATAGGTTAGTTTATCAAACTGATTCACTTGAACTCCTCGGTTATTCCGATGCTGATTTTGGAGGTGATAAAGATGATGAAAAGTCCATTTCGGGACACTTATTCATCTTTGGAGGTGAAGCTGTTTCTTGGAGTAGCAAGAAACAAGGGTGTGTTGCTAGATATACGCAAAAAGCTGAATATAACTTACAGTATGGCAACTACACATGTTGTCTGGATAAGACGGTTTTTGATTGATCTTGATCTCAATTTGTTAGAAGTACCTATTGATATTTATTGTGATAATCAAGCAGCAGTTAGTTTAATCAATAGTGGTGCGCATAGCTCTAAAGGAAAACATATTGAGATTCAGTATCACTATATTCGAGATATTATAGAAAAGGGAGAAGTCAAAGTAACTTATATCCCTACTACAGATATGATTACTGATCCTTTGACAAAAGGAATACCAGCGAAATCTTTTATTAAACATGTAAGTTTGATGGGGCTTAGGAATAAATAAGTCCAAATAAAATTTCATGAATAATAAAATAAGAGTTATTTTCTACGGATAGTGAGAGTAATGATAAGAAAAAATATCTAATCTCACGAATAGTGGGAGGCATGTCACTTGGTTGATTTGGTCAAATGGGAGATGTTAGCTTAACTCGGTCATTAATGACCAAATCAACGTTCGTTTCTCTATTGAGAAGAACGTGGAAACGTGGTTTGTTGAGAGAATATCTCTCAAGGGGCGGATTTGAAGAGGGTGAAGATAGTGGGGTTAGCCCCTATAAAAGAAGGGTCGATCTCCTTCAGAAATCACAACGAAGAAAAGCAAAATCAAATCCTTACCCATTATCGGAGCCCCTCAAAAATCTGCTCTTTCTTCTTCTTTGAATTCGATCACGCATCAAATAGCTATTTACAGAGTAGATTGTGCTCGACTTCGCTCTCTATATGCCTAAAAAATACACCTCATCTCTCAAATTTCTACTTACCCAGACTTAAAAACACTCAAATCATGTATTCACCAAAATTTAACCGACACGTTAACAAATCATTCATCTTAAACCCAAAATACATAAACAAAGGTAACGATGCATGCATCTCATTTTTGCCCCCGAACTCCGCAATCAAAACCAAATTTCTTTAAACAAAGGATCATTACCCAATCCCTAACCCTAATTATCCAATAAAGAGCAATCGATATTTCCACAAGGCAGTTTTTGGGGGTGATTACCGCTACTTTGAGGTCCCATGATGGAGACAACTGCGTACGAGAGTCCACTCTCCTTGAGCTTCACAGCCTTCATGAAATGATCCAATCCCGAGACGTTGAACTCGCCCTCTCGATCTATCAGCTGCGTTGAACAGCACTCATCGCCCGTGGCCGATAATGCTGCATGCACGCGAGAGATCGAATGACGTCTGAAGAAATTAGGCTAGCTTCTTGATTTCTTGCTTTAGTTTTTTTTTTTTTTTTGTTGCCCTTTTACGAGGTTGAAGATTGAAATCTAGGGTTTGAAAATGAGAAGGAGAGGAGAATCGAAATAGGGGAGAAGAGAGCGGGGAGAACTTCGATGGGAAGCGAATGAACACGCGGACCCTGAGTTGCTACGGCCGGTTTAATGCAAAAATATTTGATCTATGTTATCGTGCTGATAGTAATGTACGGCGACTGGGGAACTTCGCAAATGAGCCCTTTGTCTTTTAAGTCTTAAAACACTTTTGAGCCTCAACTTGAAGTTGTCACCCTCTTTCTAATGCTATCGTTGTTTAATTAATTTATTTATTTTCTGTTTTTTCCCTCCCTTTCCCTGAAATGTCCTTTAGTTTTCACTTTTACAAATGTGAAGGGTAAATAATATCTTCAATTTTTTTGCTAATTGGTGTCCTTTTGCTTGTTTGGTTAAAAGATGTCTTAATACAATTTGAAATTTACTTTTAGCTGGATACAAATTAATTAAACTGCATTTTTTTACGTGACGTGTAGAAATTGATTAGGCATCCTTGAAATGCATTCTTGTTCGTTAATTTTAAATCTAATTCCTAATCATGCCTAATTTGAAGAAGTTGGTATAAATTTGGGTAAATTTCGCATAAACCCCCAAAAGATAGGCCCATTTGATATACCTAATTTTTTGGAAATGTCAAAAAACACGAAATAAAATTTTGGGGTTTTATATGTCGACATCTATATTTTTGTTAAGGTGATTAATATGTGACTATGTGAGTATAGTTCCACATCGGATAAGAAAAGAAAAAATAATGAGTTTAAATAGGAGTTTGGGTCAATATCTGATAATTATAGTTTTTGGGTTAAAATTGATGGCTTTTTTTTAAAGGAACTTGCATATTTTATTGCCAAGCGCAAAATTGCACTGATGCAAAATAGCTTTTTGCGACACTATCTCCATTCAGGGGCTGTTTGGTTGGCATTTTTTGCTCTTGTAAAGCTGTCAAAACTGACAAAAGCTGTCAGTTTTGACAGCTTTACAAGGGCAAAAAATGCCAACCAAACAGCCCCTGAGTTGAACTCGATTACATACGCGACAGGTCAGACAATGTGGAGATCGTTTTCTACGTCTCACATCCAAGTGAGTTCGGGGATAAAGATCCTCTATCATTTCGTGGATCCATGAACGGTATTCTTTATTAAAATTTTCTTTCTTTCTTTTTTTTTTTGAGTTGGGTATGACAAGACAAAGATTTAGACAGTAAGAAACAGGATATGCTCATTCCTATACTTAGAGCAAGTGCACCAAGCTCCCACCGCCGCTCTCAAGGCCTACGTGGTGGTGGGATCGAGCTCTTAAACCCCCCTCCAACAAACTCTCAGCAAGCTCCCAAGGGGCTCCATGGGCTGATGTGGACAATGGGGCCCACCGGAGCTCTTTGGAGCTCCCAAGCGCTCCACAAATTTGTGGAGCGTTGGGGAGCTTCCAAGCATTAAAAAAAAATTTTACAAAAACCCCCTTACTTTTAAACCCAAGCCTTAAAGAAATATTTTTTTTTACGAAAAAGTCTTTGGTCTTTGTATTTTTGCAATAGAAGTGAGGTTTTTTTGATAGAAGAGGGTTTTTTTTAATATTGTTGGAGCTCCTAGGAGCTCGTTGGAGCTACATAAAATAAGGAGGTGCTCCCAAGGCTTATTTTTATAATTTTTTATTTCAAAATGCTTGAGAGCTCTTGAGAGCTTGCTGACTAGGACTCCCAAATGGGAGCTTGATGCATTTGCTCTTAGCTGAGAAGACAAATATATGTGCAGTTTCATCAGACTTCAGTCAGAATAATAAAGCTCTACAATTTCCTTTCTCTAAAAAAATTAAAATAAGCTGAAATGGGCAGAGCAGAATCTAAATCCCAGATTCTTGAAACCCAGACACGATAATTCTGAATAGCACGAGTATATGGACTTCTGTTCAACATTCCTGCAGACATTCTTCTTTTATAAACACACACTACATCTTTATATAATGTGTACTTAGTAACTTTTCTGGTGTTAAATTCTCTAAAAAGCATACTTTTCTAAGGATAGTTTAGTTCACTAAAGAGCTCATACGCCATTAACGATCTCGCATACTGAGTACTCGTCATCACAGTGCTCGTGGACCCACATTCACTCTCTTGCAGCGAAATACTCGATCTATCAAGCTTCACATAACAAGAATTTCTCTGCATCCGACCCCCTCTGGAGCTACTTCTCCCTTCAATCGACGGCCTCCTTTGCTTCGGTGCGCTATGAGACCGAGCCTTGGCCCTCGAGGACTCGGTGTTTGCCATGTAACTAGGGAACAGAGGGCAGTCTTGGATTGAAGGGGTCGACAAATAAGGAGGGCTGCTGATTTCTGAAGTGATGAAGTATTCCGCAAAGTGGCCGCTGTCGGCTTGTGGGCTTTTATGATCGGTTAAGATTGAGCGAGAAGGCGAGGGTTCTCGGCTTGGGTCTCTTTTGTATGGCGTATTGGTTGCAGAATAGGAAGTGGGTAGCCTTTGGTCTTTCCTATGGATGTTTCTGCTCTTTGCGCTGCTCCTTGGTTCCCCGATGTCCATCTCTACTATCCTAATGTTTTCTTCCATTTCCTGCACCGAACAACTGAATGATTCCAAAGGCAGCTCTTGAATGAAAAGCAGTACTTTTTCATTTTGAGAATGGTTTCCTTAGACACAACTAATAAGGTGGTCATCAGCGAAACCCCCAGAGTTAAGGGGGGTTTTCTGAAACTAACCGATTCAATTTGTATCTAGGATGTTTCACTAAGATGTATCTAAGGAAAAGTAGTGCTTCTTGGAAAACTGATTACTTACGTAGGACTGGCGTGATCTTGATTCCTGCGGTGATCTCCAGTGATTATTTTGCCGATGGTGTGACATGGCGTGTGCTTCTTCCAGCATCCGAAGCCTCTGCGTTCGAACTCTGGCTTGAGCTGTCACCATTGCTCGTATTCTGCGGAGAGTTGCAGTTGCTTGCATTCTCACAAGGTGACCTCTTATTAGAGCTTGCAATTTCACTAGGCCTTTCAAAGCACATAGAGCTTTCCTTGCCTGTAAAAATTTCCGGATTTCATTTAGTATTGTTATAGTATAGCTTATCAGCACAAAATACTCAAACTGGATTCGCGAAACAAATGATCTGTTTGCTTCATGGTGCAACCTTCAGTCGGTCTGACATTTTCCTTTGTGTTGATTTCAATTCTACGCATATGATTTCCCGGCCACTTTTAATTTTATGTTTCAGTTAAAATCATGACATACTTCACATCAGTATTGGATCTTTGGCACGACTCTCACTCAATTCACAAAGAGAATAGGATTGTATGGCAATTGTCACCCGCTGATTTATTTTAAAAAAAGAGAAATAGGCACTGTTTTCACCCCCCAAGAAAATTTTGTTTGACAAAACAGATATTACGAAGGATTCGACTCTACTTTGTTGAATTTTGATACTCAGATCAGTCATATAATACGCAGCCCATCTACTTTAGTTATTATACGTTATAAGCTCTGTTATAACTAGCAATATCTATATTTTCCTCCTATATTGTTATAAAATGCACTCTTTTAAAAAAAATTAGGTAAGGCCCTCATCCTCCAAAAAAAACATTTTCCTGTAATAAATCACAGATGAAAGTTTGCTGTTTCCTTAATCAATATCTCTTTCCCACAATACTATATCCTAAACCTGTCACTGTTTCCCGAGTTCCTGTTTCCCGAGTTCATACCATGGAAAACCTCCGAATTTGACTTTAGTTACTGTGAAATCTTCACAAACAAAAAAATCCCACATCAATTCTACATAAATATTCACCGTAAACATTTGTAAATTTACTTACACTCAGTTTGAAATTCATACCAGATGAGCTCTGAAAACCGACTGGATCTTAATCGCCGCAGCCTCCTCATTTACTTACACTCAGTTTGAAATTCATACCAGATGAGCTCTGAAAACCGACTGGATCTTAATCGCCGCAGCTTGCCTCTTCTGATCCACATCCGAATCCGACAACCTCCGTGCATGCCCACGCACGCTCGCGGACTTCTGCTCCAACGCCGTCCCCGTCGATGACCTCCGGAAGCTCCATCTCTTCTTCTCCTTCACGGGAGGCGTCGATAACGGGCCGGACTGCATGACAGGATCCAGCCCATGTTTCTCCTTCTCCTTCTTGCCAGTCAAGAAGAGCCTCAGCCATTTTGCTGCCTTGCCCATCTGCTCGCATTCACGTTGCTTGCTTTGTCTTCTGTCTGTATTTATTTACGCGCAGTCCAATGTGAGTTCTTGCTTGTTTATCGGGCAAGGGGCCTGCAGGGGGGAAAAAAGAAGAAGTAAATAATATGGAGGGAATTTCCTCAGAGAGCCATTTGCCAGAGTCCTGGTGGATTTGTTAGTAGAGTTACTTGTTTCTATAAAAAAAAAATCCTTGCTGTTAAATAAAGGGAGTAGTCAGAGGGAGGCATGTGGGGATCTGTATAGAATAATGGCGCCGGCTGAGGAGGGCGAGGCCCGCTGTCTCAGCTCTTGACAGCAACTGGTCTTTTGGGACCCTGCAACTTTGGCACAAGAGCTTGTTTTTATTTGTTCACAGGAAAGAGAGAGAATCTAATTTTCCGTAGAGTCTACTGTAAGGTATCTACTTCTATATATCCTTGTTTCTTCCGCTTTTTTTTTTTCTAGGTAAGTTTTCAGATACTGTGCATAGCTTTTGCTCATTCATGAAGCATTGATGGAAGTAAAGAGGCTGGGGTTTGTTTGAAGAGGACAGCAGTGGATGTGAGTAGTGATAATTTGTATTGGATCTCACTTCTTTGCGGTGATGAGTAGTGATGCCTGTACGCATGCATTATGCTACTCTTGTACTCTTACGCATTAAAAAAAATGACACCCTTTTTTCCCATAAATTGTAAAAAAGAAATTATAAGTTGCAATGGATCTCACTTCTTTCTTTGTGTTTAGGAGTACGGAATTAGTGTAACTTTTGTAATAAGTTTGTCCTTTTCCCAGTGGATATGGTCCACTTACCTGTTAGTCTTCACTGCCACGTAACTAGTAACCTTTCACATGTGTTAATATTTCTACAGAAAGGGTATTTCTTTTTCTTCTTGGTGAATTAATTTCCTTACGCTCGAACCTCTCCTACTCAGATGAGGCATACTATCTTTAGAGATAAGATGTTGAATTTTGTTGTCTAGTCGGGTGTTTGGTTCAATTTCTAGAAATTATAGGAAATGTTTTCCACCCAAAATATGATTTCCTTGTATTTTTCAATTTCTAGAAATTATAGGAAATGTTTTCCACCCAAAATATGATTTCCTTGTATTTCTTTAAAAAATTATAGGAAAAGTTTCACCCAAAATATGATTTCCTTGTATTTCTTTAAAAAATTATAGGAAAAGTTTTAAGAAGTCAAAAAGTACTAATTTTTTTTTTTTTACTTTGCTTGTTTTGTTCAAAACAAAAAAAAAATAGCTCATAACTTTATAGAAAATGAGTATAGGAAGAGTTTTGTTGATTAAATAAGGAAGGTGTCAGATTTCTGTTGATTTCCTCTCATTTTGAGAGGAAATTTTTTTTATAAAATTTGGTAGTTTTTGATATTTAATAGAAAATATTTTTATAAATTTTTTGTTGCACAAAACACAATTTGCAGAAATCTATAGAAAACTTTTAATTACAAAATTGTCATTGTTAGATATTTTAAGAAAAGTTTTCTTAAAAAGTGTGCAACCAAACAGCCCTTACACTTGATCAAGATTTCCAATTTCCAATTTCCATATTTTCTTAAAGATACTGCATGTTATAAATTTTATCTAATGTATTGAATTGGAATTTCATAATTTTCATCAAGATCTAACTTGAATTTCAAATTTTCATCCAGAAGAAGAAACCCTCCTGCAACTTGTTCCGGCCAGAATGTCTGAATACTGAGGAAACCCCATAATGTAGGAGTAACTTATATCGAATGGATTCCTAGAGCCATACTTGCTGTTGAATCTTCAGTTAATTGTGGATAACCCCTGTAGTATCCATGTTTTTTACTCGCAACCCCTCCAGTTTTGTTGTCACAGATAGACCACCTGAATTATTTTTCAACTCTTATACCCTCAGTCGGTTCTATTTGTCCACAAAAAAAATCTCTCACTAATGGTAGAAGGGTAAAATAAAAAAAAAGTCATTCAGGATGTATGTCTCAAAAAAAACTCAAAATAGCGATGCTATAGGGGGTTCTATCTGCAATAAACCCTTGAACTTTTTATAGTTATTTTCTGACACGTATCCTTCAATGTGCTGAGTATGTCCAAACGTATTAAGGTTCATTAATAAGTAAATATAATTTACGCTGACAAACTAGATGCCTGTACTATATGTCTAATCATGACTTGATCTGGGACGATCCTTGTGTCATCACCGTAAGTAGTTAGATTCTCAGGTCTACGTTATGTAAATTAATCTTGTAAGCTCTCAACCCAAACCTAACCAAATCCTATCTAAAGCCAAACCTAGTCAAATTAGAACAAAATCTATGCTTTCAAATGACTCATGCCAGCTATGCGCATGTGTCTTTCAAATTTCAGCATCTCGTAAATCTCTTCAATATCCAGCAACATAACAAATATATTTCCCCATCTCGCCGTCTCCTCCATTCAAACTCCCCTAAGCAATATGAATATGAGAAAAGATATCGTAATTGTTGCTGTTAGTATGCTCATTCACCAAGCAACTTTTTCCTTGTTTCCAGCAAGAGCAGCTGCTAAACTTGGTAATAGTTCGTTTCCTAGCTCTTCTCTGATCTCTCTCTCTCTCTCTCTTTGCTTTCTTTGCTACTACTAGCTGGAGTAATTTTCTCTCAGATAGAAGACTTCATGTTTCCGTTTTGTGTTATATCTGTTTATGATCAGATATTGCATGCAATTTCGTGGAGTGTGGGATGGGAAGCTGCCAGAATTCTCCAAACCGGACATTTGGGTTCGTCTGCGACTGCGCACCTGGCTGGACTCAGGTTGGACCCCAACGAGCTGATGATCCTCTCCGATTCCTTCCATGCATCATTCCCAATTGTATTCTCTTTCTCCCTTTTAATTCTCTGAATATCGGTTTTTAATAGAGTAATGTTAACTACACTGCTATTTGTTTACTGTCTACTACAAGACAGAACAATGCAGAACCTTTTCTCACGACTAGGTATAGGTCAATTTGAGTAAGAATAACAGTAAAAATGCTTGATTGGGGATAAATCTAGAAAGTATTTAGGTGATTCTAAGGGGAAGAAAATAAGAATGTTACCGTTGAGGTAGAGTTGGGAGTTCAACTACTACATGAAGGTGAATTGTAGTGGACCTAACAATTTCACTTTCTGTCACTGGAAACGTTAATAAAGAGCTGCCACATACTTTCACCTGATATTAGGCAACCTTCATAAATAATTGTAGGACCCTAGCATGACGCTTTAATATAGCTTATGTAGCGATTCATTGACATCAGCATGAAGATTAAAGTTAAAGCATGACATAATAGAGAGTGATTAATCAATCACACCAGCTCAAGTATGTATTTTATATTACATATTGTGATGTGATAGAAAAACTAGACATGAGTAAAATTACTGACTTTATTTGACCACAGATATCTTAAACCTGCAATCCAATTGTTGTGACAGTTACCTCCCCTGTTTATTTTCAGGTACCTTAAATTACGCTTGCTACAACGAATCGGTGCCTGAACCACCCAAATCTGTTCCAAAGACTCATAACTTCTCCCTCTTTGATCGTAAATTGTTCTCTCAAATTAAAGAGACCGTAACATCGTAACCTCTCTTTTCTAATTTATTCTGTTTTCGCTTTTACCCTGCAGCATGTTATTGGTCCTATTGTGGACATGGAGACTGCATAAAGACTTCAAGGTTCAAGCATCGATGTGAATGTAAAAAGAGTTATGGCAACATCCTGAATATTACAAACTTCCCTTGTGTCAAAGACTGTAAGTGCCCAAAGGTTAAAAAATAAAAAGAAGAAAAAAAACAGGAAAGTTATAGAAATTGGATTCTGATAGTAAGGTGTTTATTATTTTTGCAGGTACACTGGGAGCAGAATGCTCAAACTTGGGGTTTACATGGACAAATGGCTCGTTTCCACCTACTCCAACCACTTTCTTTCCTAATGGCGGCCACGGTGAGGTTTGATGTTCAAAATGAAGGTTTATTTAAATGTTTTTTTTTTTCGTGTTGATGTTTTTGACTGCATTGTTTGATTATTGTTTGATACATCCAGCAGTTTCCTCTTCTCAAAACTACCTACTGTGGTTCTTCTTCTGCGCAATATCGTTAGTCCTGGCTCAAGCAACATGAATAAAGGTCTAGAATATGGGTACAATAGGCATCAGCTTCTCTTTTACATCTTCGAGAATTTGTAATAAAAAAGCATAAGAGATTTTACTTTCTGATTTCTCCTTGTAAATCTCAAACCCATTCTGTATATCGCTGGGCGAGAAAAGAGGGGGAAAATAAAAATTTAAGCCTCTGCAATTTGCTTGTCTGCTCAGATAACTGCTTAGCAGAAGCAAATTCTTAGTT